CCCCCCCCCCCCCGCACAGCGATTGACGGTCGTACTCAACTAGGGTAGAAAGCACTGGTGATTCATTAATAAAGGTCTCTCTACTTTTACATGAAGGAAAATCCAAAACCTTGCGAATCCCAAATTGTTTGCACACAGTGTTTTTTGTATTGCTTACATCAATACATCCCCAGAGTTACCCCAACCTCAGAGCTGCCCCAAGCGCTCCTGTTAACTGAAGTAACTGGTGGCCGTGGCTGAGCCTGCGGCCGTGGGACGCTCGTCCCACTCCCTCAGAAGGTGCTGTCTGCACCCACAGCCGGGTTTGGCCAGCCAGTTACTCCCACGCACAGATGGATAATGCCTTGATTCAGTGGGTTAGAGAGGGTAAGCAAGCCCCACAGCTACTGTTAGAAAGCTCTTGGATACTGAGCAGTGCAGAGGGCGCGGGGTAAAGATCAGGCCTGGATTTGTGCCCACACGAGGGGTGCAGGGGGTTTCAGGAGCAGTCTGGCTCTGCAGCACTCACTGCAAGCTAGGTTGGACCCAACTACAAAATATTTTCCATAATGAAGCTGTTTTGTAGCTGATTGACAGAAAAAGGGGAACATGGGAGAGGTACAGAAGGTGGTGTGTCCTGTGTCTTCTGCATCCTGCTCTGAAAGTTCTCCTGCTTGACATGGGAAGAACAGACATGCCATGTCTCCCAGGGCATCCCCCTCACTTTCATAGCAGCTAAGCACTCCACAGTGCAATTATCCACAACACAAACGCTGAAGTGTAAGCAATTTGTTCGATGTCAAAGGAGGATCATGATGAAGCCAGGTTCTCAAACTTGTCAAGTTTAGTGTCGTTCTCCTCTTCTCAGAGAGGCTATCTGGAAATGTAGAGGAACAGAACCAGCCACAGGTTATCGTCACATCATTTTATTGAAGTTACCTGAACGTGCAACAGTAAGGAGCACTGGGCATCCAGCTTTTTGACTGATGCCAAATTAGAAGCACATATGTAAGACAGAACTACAAAGCAAAGCTGGCTGAACCCCTGTAAGCATTTTAGAGTCAAATAAGATAGCTAAAGGTAATTTAAAAAATGCCTGTGGTCAGGCAGTTGGACTAGGTGATCGCTGTAGGTCCCTTCCAACTGAAATATAATATTCTATTCTATGCAGAATAAAAATATTTTTAAAATACCATCAAAAAGATCAAATTTAGTTCTTTTCATAACAGTTCTCTGCGTTAAAGTTCTACTGTCCCAATAATTAAAACAGTATAATTACTCTTTCCATATCAACAAGTACATCTATATTTAAAATATGAATGTTCAGTCAATAGGACATGCTGATATGTCCTATTTTAAAGAAACTGCTTATTTCACCTTGGAATTTTACCTGGTGCTCACAAACACAAAGTGAGACAAGATAATTGCTCCGAGGAATTGAATGTAAATACTACCATTTGTAACATAAAATGGAGTTATGAATACTAATGCATGAAACAAAGCCTGCCCAGCTGACCGCTTGCAAGACACATCTGGCCCCCAGGACAATTTTCCACTATCATATACAATTATACATCTCGTCTGACGACTAGCCTTAGTGTAAATGGGACTGATGTCATCCACACCCAGTTGCCAAGAAGTTGAAAAATCTTGCATTAGATTTACAACTTGTTTATTGTTACCAATTACGGAGGCAAAGGCATACTTCTGGCCCTATAAATCCTTGTATAATACCCATGTTTAAGCAGAGGACATGAAAGTAGACGAAGTGCTGGATACAAAACTTCATGACTTACAGAAAAAATATGCATACACAGCACTTTGAGGAAGCAAATATAGCAGAGCTAGGTTGTCCCATGCTAACTTTAATTGAACTACAGCAAATTAATATCATGGGGGAAACATCACAAAATACCAACCACAGACCAATCCAGCAGCCTTGGAGAGATTCTAGTCTCATTTTTAGCCCTTGCTGAAACTGTGTCCCATGTTAACCTGTGCTATTTAGTATTATATTCTAACTTAACATGCCTGTATAGCCATACCTAAAGTCTCACTCACATGTGCAGTGAACATGATAACTGAACTTCTGCCCACCAATTTTCCTTGCAATTGTTTCTATGTATTATGTGCAGGGTATGAAGCAAGCACAGATGTCCTTATAAAATGTCCTTGACATACCAGCTAGTGATACAATATTTTGTGTAATTATATTGCAAAGCTCTACAAAATATGCTGGATTTTTCAAGTCTAAAAAAAAAATTTCATAGTTTTGACTCCTAATATATTTAAATATAGTTTCTAAAGCATTTGGATGATTATAAATGCCAAGTGTGCAAAACAAATGGACTCCTTTAACAGTTAAATTTTTTAATTGTTACCTTGTGTGTTTTATCCTACAAGCCCAATTGACACAAGTAGTCTCAGTAAAGTCCATGGTATGACAACAGGAATGACTGACTAATAACATAAGTAAATCTTGCTGGATAAAAAACTTAAATTGGAGGATGTCTTTAATCTTTCTGAGTGTTAAACAACATTATTAATACTTGAAATTACTATTAAACATTTTATCTATATTAACAAGGACTTGTAGATTTTCAAATCAAATCGTTCCTTTTCCGACTATGTGACTTGGGGATAGTATTCTGTTTAATTCTGTGAATTTCTTCCATTTACATCTCCTTTATCTTTGATGTTTTGTTTCCCTGATTTTGTTAAACCCTTTATTTCATAACACACATCCTTTAAGTTGTATACAAAAAAACTTCGAACATCACTGTGCATATCATACTTTATTTTATTAAAATAAGTTACAAGACCCCAACTTACTTTCCCATTTAATAGACAGAAGACACAGGCACATTTTTCACTATGCCTTGCCATTTTACAGTTTTATATAATGTGATATACTGTATCCATTATTTTTTTCTGTATTTACTTTTAAATAGGAGAATAAAAATGCGGTTACTGCAGAAAAGTAGTACCTGCTGTACTACTTGTAGTACAAAGTGAAGCACAGCAGGTATAGGTAGCGTTTGGTTATTAAATGACTCTACATGAAGATCCTTGGGGTCACTGTATTTTCAGGACTGTTGTCTTCCTGAAGTCTTCCTGACATTTGTCAATAATAACAAACCAACTGCTGTTTTGTAAGCTGTGCAACAAAATAAAGCTTGCTGAACACAATAAAAAGGATTGTTTCTGAAAGATTATTTTAGAATTAAGTAGAATGATAGCTCAGACAACCAGCTGTCTGCTCTGATATGCCTGCAGCTTCTCAGACACTTCATCTAGTGGTCAGTTGTTAAGGACAGTATAATAAATGGTTATAAGGGTTGGTTTGTTTATAATCTTTCTCATTGCTGCACTTTCAACAAACAATCTGTTTTCTAAATGAGGTCAGTACCTGCTTGAACCAGAGATTTCAAAACATTTGAGAGATCTGTCAAAGTCTTGCAACTTCCCAAATGATCTCAACAACGCTAATTTCTTAGAAGGAGTTGGACCAAGTGACACTCAGGGCTGAGGAGCAGCAGGTGATTGTGTCCGCTGCTTTTTCCAGGTTGTTTTGAAAGGATGCTGGGGATACAAATTGCACACCAAAGAATAACTTTGAAAGAAAGCCTCAGTTCTTTGTAATAAAGTATACTCCTAACTTGAAACCACCACATTTTCTTGCTTAACATTAGGTCTTTCAAGTACAAAGATTGTTCTCTGAAGGGTGTGCTACTATTGAGATGACATTACAGGTTTAATTATCTTGGTGTTCAGTTTTAACTACTTAGATTCTCTGGAATTATATATTATAATCCAAGGAAAATCAGAGTCTTCTCTTCACCTTTCCGAGGCAGATAAACTGAACTCCAGGCACACTGCAAGAAGAGGGATTTGCAAATAGACCTTATAAAAATAACTTTGAATTTATTCAAGAACTGGGAAAGTTTTGTGTCCTTGGCAGAAGTTTTCATTTGGCTTTCAGAAACTTTGGTGAAGTGCAAATTTCATTTATCTGTATAAATGATGAGTTAACGTATAAAACTTACTAGTGTCCTGCTTTGCTCTCTTTCTTTGATTAATCCTAAATACCACACGCTTCCTTGATTTTGAAGCCCCTGGGATCAGGCTGACAACCACAGATGTAGTGCTCCTCTAAATCAATTCCTATTTAAACAAGAGCACCATTTACAGAAAAAAACATGCAGTCTTAAAAATTTCCAGTGATGAAAATCTTGGTAAATTGTCACAGTGATCAACCACTCTCACTTCTAAAAATTGTGCCTTGTGTTGAATCACAGCTTGCCCAACTTTAACTTCCAGTTATTAGTTCCTGCGATGCCATCTGAGGGCATTTATTCCAGCATTCAGGTTTGTTGTGGTACCACAGAGTTCACCACTTTCTCTTTTTTTGTTGTTTTTTTCTCTCCCACATGTTTGTGAAATGTCTAATCTGGAGGCTAACCACATTCCTCTTCACTGCCACAGGCGCTGCGCTGCAGCAAATGAAGCTGCCAAATTCCAGCTAGCACCCGCCAGCCTGCACCTCGGATGTCCCATGGACCCAAGGCTTGCCCAGTGCCTCCAGCCTCAGCACCCTGCCTCACAGCTCTCCCATTCTCATATATCCCAGCAGCTGGACATTAATAGGCTAGCACATTTTCACAGAAAAGAAGAAGGTGCATGAAAATTGCTTGGGACAGTGCCTGCCTGCAGAGGTGAGGTGCAGAGGAATACCGGAGCTGGTGGGACTGTTGTCACACTGCCTGTGAAGTCGTCTTGAAAAGTTTGGGACATAATAGGAGGGCTCAAAACTGAGCATTTGCTATAACAGTAGAAGTCATCTGGAATAATTATGAATAGAGCAGTGCTTGATGTTCGACATAGCATATATAATCTAGGGGATGGGGGCATATGCATTTTATCTGTGTCTTTGTACTAGAGCCCTTCAATGAAATGTGAAAGCATAGTAATATTTGCAACAACCAAGATTTTGTTCCATAACATTTCTAAAATCACCATAAAAATACTTTTTGTTTTGAGAGATGTTCCTTCTCTGGCTTATCAAAATAGCTACCTCTAAAATACCAGTAAAGAGTTGAATGCAGAAGATCATGTAAGAAAAAGGATATGTTTTGTGGACAGAGCTTCAAGGCGTGAGGTGACCGAGTCCTGCAGAGCAGCTATGGCTTCACACTTACAGGACTCTTCAGTTGTTACAAGACTGGTCATTATGGCTCCTAAGAGAGAAAACAGCATTTATAGTATTTATGACAATTTTTGAACATTTAAATCCCAGGAAAACGCTTGATTCCGCAATGGGAGTTGAACTCATGCTGTGAGACTACAGTAAGCACTGAAGCCCAGGGCAGTTGGGAAGGAGGGACGGCGGTGAACAGGGGCCAGTGTGTAGCCAGAGACAGGAGTACCATAGCCCAGAAACAGGATAGGCGAGAGAGAGCTTGACTGTAACCGAGGAGGAGGCAGAGCAGGGAGTTCCTCACCCACCTACCTGGATCCTCTGCGCTCTTTAAATTAGACAAGTATTGAGCAAAATATAAAAAGAGTGCAGCAAGCAACCAGCCTCCCCCATCAACTCTAATTGCTAGACTAGAGTGAATCTTTCCTTTGCCTGTTATCTCTCCCTCTTATCCAGAATATCCCCCATCCCAAAAGGTAGGGCACCCTGGGAAGTAGGATGAGTCTGTTCAGGTGATGCAGACTGAGAACAACCTGCAGTCCAGGTCTCTGTCTTGTAAGTAGTGCTTTGACCATCAGACTGTCCACACAGGAAGGCACTGGTATCTCTGTAAACAGGATCTATTCAATTAGATGTATTTAAGGCCATGACTAACTTCTTGGGCTTGTCTTCAGAAGAATGATAGAATCATAAAACGGTTTGGGTTGAAAGGGACATTTAAAGGTCACCTAGTCCAACCCCCCTGCCATAGGCAGGGACATCTTCCACTAGACCAGGTTGCTCAAAGTCCCATCCAACCTGGCCTTGAACACTTCCAGGGCTGGGGCATCCACAGCTTCTCTGGGCAACCTGTTCCAGTACCTCACCACCCTCATAGTAAAGGATTTCTTCCTCATATCTGAATGTGTCTAAATAGAACCTAAATCTGTCTATACAAAATCGAGGTTGCTGCCCTGTCAAAGGTGGATTGTAATGGCATTTAGGGTACCCATCACTCCCACACACAGCATGTCTGAGAATGTATTAGTCCAAAGTTAAGCCTCCAGGAGCTTTGCAAGCCAAGCAGGAAGGCATGTAGTGATTTTAGTCACATAAATAATTGGTCAGTGTCAGAAATTGGTCCGTTTGCATCAGTTTCTAAGATGTGCATGGAATTTAGATACCCAGGTCTCAGCTTGGGAAGGAATTAGAAGAATTGAATTTACCACTTGGTAAATAATACAAAAATGAAAGCAGGAACACATGTATTAATTTTAAATACTAAACAATAGAGGTTCAGCTAAATCATCAATGTGTATCACCCCACAAGTACTCTTGGTTTGTAACATTGGCAATATGCATGAGTAGGGAGTATAATTTTTGATTCAAGAGGTGTGAACACAAGTCCATTCCAATGTCACAAGAATATAGATAGAGGTAACAACAACATAGGCCCAAATGAATTTAAAATGTAGTAGAAAGGCACAGCAATATTAATGGAGGAGCCAGTTAGTATGACAGAGAAGTCATCACTCTCTTAAGAAAGAAAAAGCAAGCATTGCCATACTCCACAATGGTTCCATTGAATCTGTTCCTAGGTCTTGCCCTCAGTCTTCCAAGACTTACAGGGGACCAGCCTCAGCTGTCCTCAAGAATTCCTTTTTCTCCATAATCCATCACAAACCCAGGGATGATCACAAAGGGCTGAGATAGATAATAATTTCATTGTGGTATAATAACATCACGCATCAGCTGAAGGCAGTGAGTTCTTAGTTACATGAAAGACAATTTAACCTCACCTACTCCATAGAGAAAATAGGAATTAAGGCAAGCTGCACCACTTGCTGCAGGCTAAGAACAAACATATCAACAGCTACTGAAGCACAGGTACTGTAGTGAGATTACCATCTACATCCGAGACCAGAATAATAAGCTTCCAAAGGCAGAGCCTTCTTAAAAGAGGGCCTACAAATAGGAAATACCCTTTCAACAAGTTATCAAGAGGTATTACTTGTATATAATACCTGTCTCTTTATACATGTTTTTTTACATTGCTTGCAAAGGCAATGACAGCAGATTATTCAATTATTTTTTCTGTAGATATATAAATGCATAGCTGATTAATGCCAAACAAGTTATGTGAGCATTATAGCAGTAAAACAATAGAAATATTATACCTGGATACAATTTCTTTTTTTTCCTGAATTGTTTTGTTTTCTTTTTTTGTTTATCAGTCATGCCGTTGATATTTCCATTTTGCAGGGAAACTGCAAAAGCTGTGAACAGATTCATTTCTAGCAGTGCAGAAATTCATTTGTCTTAGAGCCAATGTTGAAACTGCTGTCTCCTTGATTCCACTAACCTGTATTTGTTCAGCTCCCTTCTTTGGAACATTCCACCAGCTTTATGGTCAATGTACAAAGAAGAGCTGTTCAAGAGTCAGCTGGAGGAAGGCCAGTCCAAAATATCACACCAACATGGGTTTTTTCCGACCAACTGCCAGCTAATTTTTTATGTTTGCATTTAAATTCTCCAATGACAGATACAGATCCTCCTTGGATTATGTCTGTTTTAGCAAAATTACTTTTCCAGCCAACTTTGGCAACTGCCCAAGGGTACCCTGAAGTCTTCTACAGTCCTTCTGTGAAATTTAGAGTCTTCCAATATTTGATATTCAAAATCTTGGACACTCCCGTTGCCACTGGGATGCCCAAGAAGTCATACAAAACATGCTAGAGTTGTGTTCTTACACTGAATTTATGCTTAAGTCCAGACCTACCAAAAATTACTATTTTTGCAGATGATGTTTGGCTACATCCACCTATTTTATAACTTTGCTCTTAATAAGGTCCTTACCCACCTGATGTAATGGCAAGTTATTCCTGTTCTGAACCAGAGACTGGACTGGGTACCTCTTGAGGTCCCTTCCAACTCAACTTTACTTATGATTCTACATCTAATGGTGCAGAGGTTCTGCCAACAGCTGATGCCGTTATTGCCCATCTGAAGGGAAAACAGCTGGTGAGTTCATGCCTGCCCCACTCAACTTGAAGGAGTGGACAAGAATATACGGTTCATTTTTTAGTTCTTCTGACACTGGTTCTGTTCCTCTCTGGCCCCCACCATCCTCCAAGTGCTGGTACACAACTGAGTCCCATGCCCGAGACGGATGCCCCAGAATTCTGCCTTGCCAATCCCCCCAATTATTCCCACTTCATAAGGAAATGCAGATTATAACAATTTTTTTTTTTTAAATACAGTGAAGTCCTTAAATATGTGGTGAAAGGTAATAGTCAAATGTAGTTTTAAATACAATAGTTGCTATAACTAAACAAGAAAGATCAAAACATTAGTGGAAACAGGCAGAAAAGAATGAAAAGCGATTATACTTTCAGGGAGTTTGTGAGTTGATAGAACATTTCTCAAACAGATTAAAAGGATTTAACACATTAAAGAGGGGTACTTCAATAAATATATTCAGAAAAAAAAACAAACATGAACTACTTGAGCATGTTTTCTCATCTGTATTTAAAGTAAAGCCTTCATAGCAGTCACATATATAGGATCCATTACACAGACCTGCTCACAGTCATGGATTCCTGGTGCATATACATCAGTTCCTACAGAATGCATTTTGGAGAAACAGTTATCCAAAAACAAGATAACATTTTTAATGCTTCCCAATGGCAATGGTTTTCCATGCTGGGAGCCTATCCTACATAAATCTTACCAGGAACTACAGAGATGTGTAACTGATCTTGCCTTGGAGCAGTAAGATGAACTAATTGCCTTACTGGGGTCTCCCTCAGCCCTTACTTTGTGCAGTCTGTGCTCACTCTGACCACAGCTGCCTAACCCCACCAGATATGAAGAGCCAGATCATCTCCAAAAGCATGCTAGGAAAAGTTTCCATTACACAATAACTTTACAGTAAGGAGACCAGGAAGGAAAGAAACACTTCTAAAATGACTACATTTTTACACAAAGTCACTGAGAAGCTAAAGAAACAAACAGCAAAATGAAATTCAGCCTGGAGGGGAGGACATCACCTCAAGCTGTCTCCTGCATGGTGGCACACAGTTTCCGCAGTACTGCAAAGTTTGTGACGGTGTGACTAACCCCAGCTCTTCTCCCTTCAGTTATTTCTCAGTTCTGGATTTGCTGAATGTTGCATAATTTTTTTAAATACAGTGAAGGCCTTAGTTATAAGATGATAAAGAAAGACCAAATGGTAAGCAGTTACTAGCATTGTTGCATATGAAGTGCATTGTATCTCTAAATATTGCTCAAAGTGGAAAATGCAGAGTGACAGAACTGTCTTATAACATTGAACGCATGTGCAAGTTTCTCAGATCCAAAGACATTAACCTGCTAACGAGAGCTATTTCAATACATGTACTTAGCTGGGGAGGGTATGGGAGGATAGGGAACAGCAATCTGCTCTTACTTGAGCAAGTCTTCTTGTCTGGATTCAGGGTGTAGCCTTGGTAGCAGTCACAGGTATAGAAGAGATCATCCCTCACACAGACCTGCTCACAGTCATGCCTTCCAGCTGCGCACATATCGACAGCTGAGGCATCTGGGAAGAGAACAATGTTAATCAATACCCAAAGTTCAGTTTAGTTGGTGTTAGTAATTCCTATTTGCAAATATATCTTCATTTGGATTCAAACCAGGACATTTTCGTGGCATGTCAGCACACTATTAGCCATCAGAGGGTATACAGAGTGTGTTTTTGTCTGACTATCAACATCACAAAATTAATACAATTTTTGGAACACTGGCAACAATTTTTTGCAGTTGTAAGAGATTGCAAAAGGAACCGAACTAGCAGTGACCCAGTTACAAAATAATTATCCGAAGGAATTTCAGAGAAAAAAAATCTGGATTTTAAGAGAGTATTTGGCATTATTTCAGCTCTAATTGAGTTGGATAAGACACTGTTTTATGGAGTGAAAAGACCGTAAACAGAAGAGTATACATGGCTACAAAAAAAAAGAGAGACGTGGCACCCACTGCCAGTTACAAAGTAGGCACTTGATGTGTGAGGCTGATGTTTTCCGCCAAATTTAACACATCAACTCTGAAAGGCCAAGCTGAGAAGGAATTCCTGTATTTGAATACATTCACAGTAAGGAGGTTCAGCAAGGCACAAGGAAAGAAAGAAAGGAAAGAAAGGAAAGAAAGAAAAGACCCCCTCCTGGACCTAGACTATTTTTATTATATCATGAAGACCTGGATGGTTGAGAAATCATTAGCAGCCATTTGCAAAATGAGATTCAAAAGAGAAAAAAAGCAAGCATGTTAGGGAAATAATCTGAAATTTGACTATGCAGGGAGAGAATCAGTGCTATGAAAGGCGGTTCCAGATTGGACTTCCAAAGGGGATGCCTAACTGAATTCACATTCCCTCATAGATGTTTATTGTGTCTATATAATGCCAGGTGAGAGTTAATCTTAGGAATTACATTTACAAAATCAGCTCCTAAACTAGGCGGGAAGAAATATTGAGGCACTTTGGCTTCGCTTCTTTGAGATGCAAGACATATGATTTAATTGGAGAGATTTGCCTAGGAACCTCCTGTAATTGGAAGCCTGGGTTCAGTGCTTTGTCACACAAAACATCATACAGAAAGGGGTTATGATGAAAGTGGAAAAAGGGATTTTACATAAATAAATCATCAGTGAGATATCCAAACAAATGAAGAGTGAAGTTCAAATCCTAATCAAGTGAAAATTATATAGAATACATATTAATTTGTAGGTACTATATACTTATATGTACATCTTTAAGTACCAGCTATATCTATGCTCCTATTCTCCACAAGAGACCAGCACTGGGAAAGAACATTTTCATCCATCTTCTGGAGCTCTAACGCTGGAGTATTTATTAAGGTCCAAACACATATACCAGAAAGAGTGACCACACTCCTGATGATACAGACTGTAATCTCTCTCCCAGCACTGTCCTTGCTCTTCTTTGTCTCATTCCCTTGTGCTGTTTTGCTGAAGAGTTTTCTGACACAGGTAGTGCATATCACCTGTTCCCACCAAATATATTATCCTTCTCATCTCTCAGGTGGATATAGCAATCCACGCTCCATGGGTGTGAAAATATTGTGAAGTCCTGAGGGAAATGCCAAATGGCATTTTAATTATAGCAATTACAAGCTTCACAACTGTAAATGAGTCAAAGGTCTCAAATTATTACTGGACACATGAAGAAATAAAGTTGCACTGTGTTTTCAGGAGTTGTATGGAAACTCCTGCACAATTTATCAGAAAAATAACATAAATTAACCTGACTCTTAAAAGCTACTTGCTTTTAGCTAAATACAGTATTTCCTTGATCAGGTCTTAACCGAGCAAGTCTTCTTATCTGGATTCAGAGTGCATCCTTCACAGCAGTCACAGCTGCAGGATCCATCATGACTCAGACAGACTTGTGCACAGTCATGCCTTCCAGGTGTGCACAAGTCCATGGCTGTGGGGAACCATGCTTTAGAAAAGAAACCTATTAATCCCTCCCAGACACTCAAGTGTTTTAAATGCTTCAACATTTAGAAATGCAATTTAATTAGGATTCAAATTAGGATTCAACCAGTGCCCTACTACATTACTGTATTATGCTGCAGACAACTGAATTCAGTTACTAATTATTTAATGGAGGAGGCAGATACCAGGACTGCAAGACATTAATATACCACATCTCACGCAATTCTGGTGTTCGTCAGCAATTCTAACAGCTGATAGATATAACAGATGTTCTAACTGAATATCCCCAGTAAGGATGAACCTAAAACACCATACTGAGCTGAGCAATAACCTGCCACATGTCAAGGCAGAAGAAGTTGTTTCTTGCTATATTAGCAGTAACTATAGTGAATACAAATTTAACTTCGTACTTTCACCCATGAGCTGAAGGCAGGCACCAAAAGCCAGGCAGGATATGTAGAAATGCTATCAAATGGCAAAGAGATATAAAGCCTAGTGAGAAACAAACAAACAAACATATGAACAAGCAGGAGCTCTAGAAGATTATGTTCTCTCTTCAGAAATAAGAAGAGTGAAAACTCAGTGAGAAGAATGCTTATGTGCTCTCAAAGGGAGGGATGCACTTATCAGTTATAAAATAGCTACCCTAAGGCTGGTGCTGCTCAAAACTTCTGAATTTTCTGAATTTAAAGAAACAACTCCAGAGAAGTATTTTGGGGGAAAAAGTCTTTGTAATAGGCTAACTTTTCAGGGTGACAATTCAAGAAGCTAGTGCCAGTGTAAGACTGGGGTTGCTATATCACAGATCCCTGCATGGCTTGGAAGGAGAAGCAACAAGCTGTGAAAAAAAAAAAAAAAAAGAGTTTTAACAGGAGAGATGGAGAGGACAGGGGAAAATCATCACGGTTTAAGTTCTCTATGGACTAGAGGCACTCAATCTCTGGTGAGACAGAGTGCTGGTGGGCATCTCTGGCATAGGTTCATCCTCTCCCAGGGACTAAGTGATGTTTATGAAGTACTGTGAAGATCATAAAATGGTAGGTAAGTGCCAAATTACCTGTATGATGTTTTGTGTGACAAGTCCACCACTAAACCATGTCCCTAAGTGCCATGTTTAAAGAAAAATGCAATTTTGCTGTTACTGGAACCAAGGGAAAAGTGTACAGGTAAATTCTCATTTTAAGACTTGATGAATGTAAGCAACTTTTCAATTAGAAAAAATGAAGGTAACTCACAGAAAACACATCAGTGTCTCCATGAGTTTCATATATTAAAGTAGCCTTTAATTTTTACCTGAGCAAGTTTTCTTATCTGGATTCAGGGTGTAGCCTTCATAGCAGTCACAGACATAGGATCCGTTGTTACTTGCACAGATCTGATCACACTCGTGCCTGCCAGGTGCACACATGTCCACAGCTGCAAGACACACATTAGAGAAGCAATTCATTGTTAATAAAAAGTAGTTTGGGATGGAGTGCATATTCACATTTTTGAATATATTTCGATTTGGAATCAGCTCAGAAATGGCAATAATAATTGAAGGAATTAGAATAAGTGGTAGGAGAAAATATCTATACAGTATCTACATCTGAAGACTTTGTTTTGGCATCTGGCCCTAATGAATGGATCTGCAGGCATAATAAAAAGGATGGTGATGGAACCAAACTACTTCTCACCATTACTTGCAGCAGATTTTTATGTATTATTTATTATTACATTTATTATTATTGAAGAAGATACAGATGTTCACTGTTTCAACAGAAGTACACAAGTAGCTTCTCAAATCCAATTATGGTGTTAAAAAGGGATTTTTTTTTTTCTAGTTGAACACATTTACTGAAGCAGTAATACCTGAGCAGGTTCTCTTATCTGGATTCAGAGTGTAGCCTTCATAGCAATCACAAAGGTAGGATCCGCCGTTACTCACACAGACCTGCTCGCAGTCATGGGTCCCAAGTGCGCACACATTCGCAGCTACACAGGGCATTTACAGAAAAGGTATTTCAGTCATCCCAAAGGAAAGAAACAGTCATGAATAATTTGTGCTTACAAAAGTACACCTTGCACTGTTTGCTGGATTAGTAGTGGTAAATGTCAGTGCTGCATCACGGTCACAAAAAGTTATGGGCATCTTTCGCATCATTCGGTAGCCAGAAGAAAGAGGTCACAAATGACACTTGAACAACTGCACTAAAATAACTCACCACCTGAGGTGGCAGAAAGACAAGATGAATTGAAAAGGGTGCAACAGGGAGAGATTTTAAGCATTTAGTAACATTACACTGGAAATGAGAACTCAGCAATGAAAAGGACCTTCTGTCTTTTTGTATCTAGTCCCTTTCTATTACAGACAACCACCTGAAATAATCCCAAAATGTATCAGTCACTGGCAGTTTACTAACTTATGCTCGCTGGCATGCAACCTGATTTATG